ATTAATAGCACCTGGGTCTAGAGGCCTACTAGCATTAACTAACTTGCTAGGTGCATTCCCCCCTTCTTGGACGGTTTCAAACTCGCCCCATGTCAAAATGTTCAAAAATATATATATATATATTCATTAATAACTTATTATTTTTAAATTTAAATTAAAAGGAAGAAAATTTTCACTATATTAATCATTACCAATCATTACCCTATATTAATACACAGTATATGTAACTAAATTCCAGATGCTGGCTGCAAAACTTGGGTGATACGCCCGGTGTTAGGAACTTAGGGTTTTTATTTTTGTCGTCTTAGCCCACCCTCTCGTTCCAACCCGTATTTAACCCATCTCCCCTCTTTTCTTTCTCCATCAACTCTTTATTACCTAATATCTTTAAATGTTAGTTGTGCCATGGCTGCTGACCTGGGCCTTCTCTCACTAAACCATCACCAGAAATCAACTCATCACTCCCAAACCAACCACCGGAACCCTATCCTCACCACTGACTCCTGGATGTGGAACCCTAATCAACCCCAAGACGACGATGACTCGTGGGAGGTCAGGGCCTTTGCGGAGGACACGGGTAATATCATGGGCACCACCTGGCCGCCTCGTTCTTACACCTGCGCCTTCTGCAGAAGGGAATTTCGATCTGCTCAAGCCCTAGGGGGTCACATGAATGTGCACCGCCGTGACAGAGCTCGTCTCCACCAGACGCAACTGGGTACAGTTGGTGCAATCAATATTCCCACCGCCTCGTCGTCCTCCAATCTCATACTCCCGGCCGGTCAAGAATTTGCCACCAGCAGCGGATTATGCCTGATATACCAATTACCTAACACTAATGGAGTCTTCCCTCCTGCTGGGCCTGTTACTGCATGTACCATCGACTCATCCTCTACTTTTCTGTCTATCTCACCTCATCCATCTAACAACCTGATTGGAATCGGACCTTCCACTTTGAATTTCCCAGTAGCATCTCCAGTGTTAAATTCAAGTCCATCCACCCATCATAACTCTTCCAAAGCCGAACCTTCATCATCTTCTAGGAATGATGCCAATAATTCTTCTACCACCAACAACAACAACAACGAAGCTTACAATATGGAAGACATCGATCTAGAGCTCCGGCTAGGGCACAGACCGACCCGACCCCCGCCATGACACGGCGCGCCAAATTATTGAAAATAAAGTGTGTGAGTGTGAAATTTTTCTTTAATTGCTTGCATTTTACAAAGAGTGGCATCCATGTATAACAAATTAATTTTTTTTCTTAGAAAATTAAACTTTGATTGATATGTGTGAGTGAGTCTGTAATTAATTTAATTTGAAGAAAGATTTAATTAATAAATGAATGAAGAGATTAGGGTTTGAGTGATGGAGTGTAAAGTTAGCAGTGCAGTGCAGTGCAGTGTCACTTTCTGATGTACAGAGTTTTCTGAGTGAGTCAGTAGGTCTCTGGGCATATATTTCCGTGGGGATTGTTTCCACTTAAAAGAGGCTAGGGCTGGCATTCATGTTTCATGCCCTACTTTTCAAACAAACTACAAAACTGCCATTAATTTCTTACCATAATAGGTGTAACACATTAATTTCAGTTACTAGGAACATATACATATGTAGTAGTAGTGTATATATAGTTTTATACATGGCACATTCAGATTTTTATTTTTCCTTTTAATTTTTTATGAGCAACATTCAGAAATTAAGGATATATAGAAGGTATATCTAATTATTAGAAGAATTCTAGGATGCCATTATGTCCTAGGTTAATTTAATACATTTATCCTTGAACTATAGGACAAATAGTTAATATATACATGAATACTAGTGGTATATAAGATATTTTATTATGAAGCTTTAATAACATATGTATCTCAATTGCTAAGAATTTAAGAGTTCAAATCAAAAGTCTCAAGTTTTAAGCTTAAGGCAGGGAAGGATTATCGATGTTTTATTATCATTAAATGTATCTAAAAAGAAGTTATGCCATGAACACTCTTTATTCGACCACATAATTAAAACATATTTGTGATTATTATTCGTGAAAAAAATTAAATTTTAAATATGTTAACTTCCACCATCTATTACCAATTACATAAAAATTATGTGTCATGTGACTCAATCACAATATAAATGGTAGGAGAGTGAGATTCAAATAAGTGTGTAGATAATTAGATTCAAACAAAGGCTCCAGTCATGTCTTTTCAACTCTTATCATATCTAAGAGTTTGAGTACTCCTTGTACTCAATTAATAATATAACTTTTGGCTTTTCAAAAAAAAAAAAAAAGATCAATGGATCAACAGGTCAACAAAAAATTTGATCCAAACGAATGTAGGCTCTTTTGTGCTAAGAGCATGTACAATGAAAAACAATAGAAAAGTTCATTTTGATGTCACATTATTATAATTAATATTATTTTATATAAAGAGAATAATGCGTATTAGTCATAACTACTCTCATAAAAAAATTAGAGTTCCAACTTAAAAAACATCATTCTCTAATGAATATTTTAAAAAACTAACCGTTAGACTTAGTTTTCTATTTATGTAAATCATACATGTCAATTTACAGAATAATTAAATATATATAATTAGTTTATTGATTATAAAAAATTTACTTTCATTAAATACATATTAAAAAATACAAATTTCTTAAGCAAATGATTATAGATGTAAAATCAACTTGAAAATTGATATATATGATCTATATCAATAAAATATTAAATCTAACAATTAATTTTTGAAAATATTCATTGAAGAGTGCTGTTTTTAAAGTTGAGACTCTAATTTTTTTTATGAGAATCAAGACTGATATACATTATTCTTTTATATAAATTCACATTTTAAATATTTAACCCTCAAATAGAACACCTTTTATTTCCTCCCCAATGCAATGTATATATCTAAACAAAGTTTCCTCAAAGGTCATACCTACATTACTTTATTTAACCAACTTAAAGAAAAAAAAGTCAAAACAAAAATAAATAAATAAATAAATGCCAGCTATTGGATGATCTAGTGGCAATGAAGTCAAAAATTGCACTGCCTAATAGCAAATTCTAAAACCTCAAAATTAATTTAAAAGGGAAGAGAGAGTGTTGTCTCTTTGCCAAGAAACAACTCTTTTTTAGAATAGGTGTTCAACGGATTAGAACTTTGCTTCTATTCTATTTTAGAAGAGAATAATAAGAGAAGTGACCACCAAGGGATGTATGTCATGCCCTCTCCTTCCTTTCACATTAATAAATGTGAAATTGCAAGTTGGCTAAACACAAAATCAATATATATATGTTTAAGTCTAAAATCAAGGTAAAACCTTATGTGAAGGCTCCCGAACTTACCTCAAATTTTTTATTAAGCTTCTAAAGTTTTATTGAAGTAAATATGCCCCTAAATTTAGTAATCTGAGTAATTTAACCCTCTTTCTTTATGGTAGACTTAATATCAGTTTGTTCCTCACTTGTATGGATAAAATATTGATATGTCCTTACTTACATGACAGGTATTGATCTTGTCACACAAGTAAGGTATAAACAAGTGTTAAGTTTGCCATACAGAAGAAGGGTTAAATTATCTAAATTACTAAGTTTAAGGGTTTATTTGCTTCAATAAAAATTTAAAAGTTTAATCAAGAACCTAAGGTAAATTTAGGAGTTTAATATAGAGTTTTACCTAAAATCAATTGATAATAGATGAATTATACATCTTATGTTTAAAATATGTTCCTTCAAATTCTTATTATTTATTTTAATGCGGGATTCCTTCACTTAACAAGAACTCTATATAGAATGCTATTGAAGAAACAAATAATAATAATAATAAGTATAGAGAAAAATTGTCATTCATTTTCCATATATTTATATGTAGGCCAAGACAACTAAAAAAAGATCTGAGAGAGTAAATAATAAGGAATTGAACTTAAGTTCTTTAATAAAGAAACTAAATATCTTACCACTAGACTAAATATTTTATTAATAATTAAGAATTCGATATTTTAACTTATTGAATAAAATTAAATAAAACAATTATCAATTAATTTTCAAAACATTATAATAAAAATTCAAACTTTAAAGTAACTAGGTGGATATGTTAAACAAACATCAGTTCAATGGTTTTCATCGGTTTAACCAGTTTACATAGGTTTTCATTAGCTCAACCACCTCATTAGTTCTATACTCCTAACCAAATCATTTTTATAAGGAATATTGATTGGTACATCTTTTGCTTTAATACACTATCAATATTCATTAGTTCAACTATTAAAATTTACAACATTAAGTTTTCTCGTCATTAATTTAAATCCAAAAATAACAATTTTTTTAATAAATATGTTATGAAATATATTGAACTAAAAGGTGTCTACATTAGTGTCTTTTTTATAATCATCAACTATTTGATCGATTCAAACAATTAGTTTAGTTTGATTTTCAAAATGATAGAAATGAGAAAGGAGAGACCTCTCCCCTTATATATATGGAAAATTATTAGTACACCTTCCAATTCAACTACTGAAATATAATATAAATACAGTCAATTTGACCCATTCTTATAACTTGTACTCATGGCTATATTTTTTAATTTATTTGTCTTTAATTTCATACTTAAAAATAATAATTTTTTAATAAATATATTATGCAATATATATTGAACTAAATGATCTATCAATTATTGTCATGTATGTTATCCACTAATAAAAGAAATACAAGAATATTTGGAACGAAAATGATTGTTATCCCCTCTATTTTAACATATACTTACCAACATCCATCAATTTAGTCATTAAAATATACAATTGAAAATTTTTTCACTTTTATTTTAAATTTAAAAATAATAATTTTTTAACAACTGTATTATAAAATAGGTTAAATTAGAGAATGTATTAATTATTGTTCAATTTATAAATGGGAACGACACTCCACATTAAAGTTTTTTAGGTAGCACCCTTTTCATTTTAGTTAGTTTTTGTTTGTAGTCGTTATAAATGTAATTACTAGGAGGAGCAAGTGTGGGCTTTTTGTCGTTTGTGTTGGAATCTTTGGCCTGGACAAGACATGACTGCAGAGCACAGAGAGCTGCGCAAACTTGATCAGATCGTTCTTTTTAATCGTCAAATATAAAGAAAAACCACAAACATTCCCTTTATAAGTGATCGGGTAAAAACCGTTTTCTTATTTTCTCGTCTGAATACTACTAACCAAAGCTCAACATCGCTTCCGCTTGTACTGCATAGATATTAATATATTAAGTAAAAACAATCAAACCCTCCCCAGTCCTATATATACATGGTCCATTCATGTAATAATGACTGACAAACATATACTAAGTATACTGTGTCGCTTCAAGTTTACATCATACAAACACACACACACATATATATATATATAATATCCAATCCTAATAAAATATGTATAAGAATTTACATAATATTATTATCATTGTTATTTTTTATTAACAAGAATTAAAATACTTTATTAGAAGGTAGAAGCAGTACCTCAATTCATTACATTCTTATTTTTAAATATAGAGTAATTTGCCTCATAACCTAAAATATTTGATGAAGCACCTAAACTCAAGACAACCCCCATTTAGGTAATTAATTCGTCAAACAATTGATGGGCTTAACATAAATTGATGCTAATTTCCCAATTCTTGTCTCATCAAAACACAAACCTCCACTTGCAGTACAAATGAGAACATTTATAAATAAATCAGTCGCTAATCCCTCCAAACAGTACATACAGAATATGGTACTGACGTAATTAAAAGAACTAGAAGTTTATAAGCGTTGAAGACCAATTAATTTGTTAATTAAGAAAGGACATGAAGAAAAATTAAAAGTAAGTGGTATACATACAAACTTTTGAGGCCAGTAAATTTTTACAAGTACGATATTGAATTTAAAAATTTGCAATGTCAATACTCAATCGTGTAAAGGACCACATTCTCACTTTTTTTTTTTTTTCTCTTCCCAATTGGAAAATGATCAAAATGCCTCGAAATTCGATCAATACATGTGCGTGTTTCATGTTTACAGAGTACAAGATATATGTGATGTAGTCAGTTTGTATATCTCTCATATTAAATCTATACCACTTAGGGATCCTGCTATTGGAGCATGTTAGATGCTTGTTTTTAAAATTTTGGCCAAGTATAGTTCAAGGCTGTCTGTATAAAAATTTTAGGATGCACTGATTTATATTTGAGTTAAAATATTCCCTAAACTCCTAATAAAATTTTCATTTTTGGCTAATGATAAATAATAAAAAAAAAAAAAAAAGAGAGAAAAGAAGACATCTACATGAGGATGAAAAATAAAACCCTCTAATATTAAAATGTTAAGATGTTTAATTATAATTATGAAATATGTAAAATATAATGTAAATTCAACTTAAATCTTATTTATTATGTGATTATAATTGAATGCCATAATGTTTTTAATGTAAAAGCATACTGATTTTTATTTTTCTCTATCTATGTAGGATTAAAAACATGTTGTAAGTTTTTAGCAACACGAATTAGGGATTTCCAAGAAATGCTCATACACGTGGGGAAAGACACATACACACTGACGCACAAAAACACGAGTGGCAATGAAAGATCGATATAGAGTACGTAGCTTTTTCTAGCTTTCTGATGAGAAAATACAGATGGAAACTACATATATATCTGTTTGAGTGCAGGGACTTTGATTTCTTCCAACTTGTTTTACTGCATGCCCCATCCTTTTTAACCTTAGCTGGCTTGGTTCATCAGTTATACCCCCCACCAAAATTAGAGACCACATTTATAGGCTCTCTGCACCTGCCTCCTGCCCCTGCCGCTGCAGCTGGTATCATTTTAACTGCTTTCCCCTGTAGCTATACCCTGCCCCTTTGGTCCCCTCTAATCCCCCACGAACGTCTAAATACTCTTTTCTCCCTTCTTTATAATTCCATAGTCCATACCTTTGCATATAGATCCATATCACCTTCTTTGTAATTAGCACTACTTACCTTCATCGTTCTTGGATGATTAAATGGTTTAAAATTTATTCAATTTAAGAGAAATGTAAATTTTCTTTCAGTTAAAATTAAAACAATTAATTTGTTGTACATACAAGTCTCCCGTTCAAAAAAATTGTTTGACTGGTCTTTAAAGCAAAGAAGCAAATTATTAAATTAGAATTAAGGCAAGTTAATGGGATGTCATATAATAGAGACCTATTCGTTGTTGTTGGTTTGAGGGGCCATTGAATTAAATTTTCTACCACTTTTTGTTTCTCACCTGACCTGAATGAAGCCAGTAGTAGATATTTGTTATGGCAGCGACCAAGATTCGGATGGGTACAGGTCAGTATAGAGCCAGTCACTGATGGTGGTGGGGAGGGCTCTTGTTCCAAAGCCGATCGTAATCATTACATATTTCTCTTCTTATCTTCATCATCATCTGCATGGCATGGCATGGGAAGCCTACTAGCCTGTGCCTGTCCTCAGTCCCCCACTCCCAAGTCCCACCCACATCCACATCCACACCCACACCCACCTTCAATCTCATCTGTCTTTTTTTAAAAAAAAAAAAAAAAACTCTCTCATCACTTTTCTACAGTGGTCAGCTTCACCAAAATCTTTACTTCTAAAGGAGATTCCGCACTATTTAATGGCCAGACAAGCCCAATGCCTCCTCCTAAGTTACAATGAATTCGCCCAAAATTTTCTTTCTTGCTAGCCCATTTTGTAGAATCCATACCATGTAAAAAGGAAAAAAAAATTTTGAATTGGGTAAATCTTTTCAAATTCTTTATTTTATGATCTAAATTGTAAAATAAGAGCAATTATTGAATAGAATAAAGAGTTTTTAATATATTTTAATAGTTAAAATTATATAATATTTTTTATTGTTTTAGAAGTAAAATTTGTTATAACATTTAAATACTTATTCAAATTATTTGTAAAATTATTTAAATGAATTTAATAAATATTTTTTATATATTAATTTATTAAAAATATTTAAATCTTTTTTATTATTTAATTTAGTATTTTAATTGTGATGATGTTTTACTAATCTATAATTTCTTTTTACTTTCTCTTTTTTTTTTTTCCTAATAAAAAAGTTTTGATTCTCATCGCAATAGCCACTATTATTTCCCTACGATGGGAATAAATTCGAAAGGGGATTGTGCGAATTGACAAG